CTGTGATTACGAAACAGTGACCGCAAGTGTTAGAAAATGTTGAGAGACTGTTATTGGTGTGGATAATGAAAAACAGATAGCAGGAGATAGCATCTCTCAAGCGATCATTTGTGAAAAGGCTAGGCAGTTGCATGACGATTTGGTAAAGAAATTGCCTGCAACTAGTGCTGATGTGAGTGAATTTAAGGCCAGCAAAGGTTGGTTTGAAAAATTTAAGAATCGTAGTGGCATACATAGTGTGATTAGGCATGGTGAGGCTGCCAGTTCGGACAAAAAGCAGCTGAAAAATATGTGAAGGAATTCAAGGATTACATAGACAGTGAAGACTTGAAACTTGAACAAGTGTTTAATTGCGACAAAACAGGCCTGTTTTGGAAGAAAATGCCAAGCAGGACCTACATTACTCAGGAGGAAAAGGCACTCCCTATGAAAGACAGGCTTACTCTGTTGATGTGTGCCAATGCTAGTGGTGATTGCAAAGTGAAGCCTTTATTGGTGTATCACTCTGAAACTCCCAGAGTGTTCAGGAAAAACAATGTCCTCAAGGCTAATTTGTGTGTGCTGTGGAGGGCAAACAGTAAGGCATGGGTCACTAGGGACTTTTTCTATGACTGGTTACACCATGCATTTGCCCCCACTGTGAAAAATTACCTAATTGAAAAGAAATTAGACCTTAAGTGCCTCCTGGTATTAAACAATGCCCCTGGTCATCCTACAGACTTAGCAGAGCGACTTTCTGGGGACAGGAGCTTCATTAAGGTCAAGTTTTTGCCTCCTAATACCACTCCTCTTCTGCAGCCTATGGACCAGCAGGTCATTTCCAACTTCAAGAAACTGTACACAAAAGCTATGTTTCAAAAGTGCTTTGTAGTGACCATAGAAACTCAACTGACTCTAAAAGAGTTTTGGAAGGATCACTTTAATATCCTCAATTGTATAAACCTTATAGGTATGGCTTGGGAGGGAGTGACTAAGAGGACCTTGAACTCTGCTTGGAAAAAACTGTGGCCAGAATGTGTAGACAAAAGAGATTTTGAAGGATTTGAGGCTAACCCTGAGAAGCCTATGCCAGTTGAGGAATCCATTGTGGCATTGGGGAAGTCCTTGGGGTTGGAGTTTAGTGGGGAGGATGTGAAAGAGTTGGTGGAGGAGGACAATGAAGAACTAACCACCGATGAGCTGCTAGATCATCTTCAACAGCAAGAGGCCACACCTGAGGAAACTGCTTCGGAGGAGGGGATAGAGAAATTGAAGAAGTTGCCTACTTCAAAGATTAAGGAAATGTGTGGAATGTGGCTTAAAGTGCAAACCTTTTTTGATGACAATCACCCTAACACAGCTATTGCAAGCTGTGCTGGTGACTATTACACTGACAATGTTGTGAAACACTTTAGGAATGTCATAAAGGAACGGGAGGTACAGGCCACTATGGACAGATATGTTGTGCGACAGAAGTCCAGTGACTCAAGCTGGCCCTAGTGGCATTAAAAGAAAGGAAGTAACCCTGGAAAAGGACTTGCTACCTCAAGTCCTAATGGAAGGGGATTCCCCTTCTAAACACTAACACCTCTCCTCTCCTCCCATCCCATCAATCATCACCAGATCTTCATTAAAGGTAAGTGTAAATTATTCTATTGTTATTGTTGTTATTGTAATTATTCTATTGCATTAAACTTAATATTTCATGTGGTAAAATTTTTTTTTCGGGTGTCTCTTGCACGGATTAATTTGATTTCCATTATTTCTTATGAGGAAAATTGATTTGCTTTTCGATATTTTCGGTATTCGATGAGCTCTCAGGAATGGATTAATATCAAATACCGGGGGTCCATTGTATATCGAACATAGTGAGTATAATTTAAAAAAGTATAAAGTATCGGTATCTGCTGAAAATTGGACATTGGTATCGGCAAAAATTTTGATGTTGTCCCTGTATTATATTGATAAAGCCACTGTATGGTGTCTTAAACAATAGTTACCTAGATGTTGCACATGTCTAATTCATCATGAGTTTTTTTATTTAGCCATTTTAAGGAATTGTAAATACAGTACTTTAGGTATACGTACAGTCATACCTCGCCCTGCATCATTAATTGGTTAATGTAAACTGGATGGAATGCCTTAAAATGATGACACACTGTACAACTAGCGTAAATAACTTCAGAAAGAATATAACTGTTTCTAAACCTTAAAGAACACTAAAAACACATTTTAGTCTTAATTTTTTTTTAGAATAAACACAGATAAAAAATTATGTTACAGTAGATCATTGTTTAACACGGTTTTGTCTTGCATGTTTTTGTTATAGCATGATTGAAGAATTGTGGCAGGTTTTTGTTTAACACTTCATAAAATTAGTTTAACATGGTTGCGTGATTTGAAAAAATTTTGAGAGCGCGGTCGCCTGTCGGGCGGGATGGTTTGTGGGTTAGTGGATTACACCATTGTGTCAACAGGGGAGACCTATTGCCATCCCCTTGCCTCCCTAAGCCACCCACCCACACCACCCTCATCAAGTGTTTAATGCTGACGAAACAAATGTTTTTTGGAAAAAAAATGCCAACATGAACTTATACCAGTCAGCAAGAGAAAAGTGCACTGGACTTCAAGATAGCAAAGGATTACTTCACCTAGCTGCTTTGCAGTAATGTGGCAAGTGATTTCAAGTGTAAGCCCATGGTTATTTACTGCTCTAAGAATGCTTGTGCTTTGAAAGGTGTAGATAAAAACACCTTACAAGTAATTTGGAGGTCAAACCAGTCAGCATGGTTGACAGGAAATATTAATTGACTGGTTTAAACATCTCTTTATTCCTGAAGTCAAGTTTTACCTGCACAGCAAGAACCTTGCATTCAAGGCTCTCATCATTCTTGATAATTCCTGTACTCGTCCACAAGCTTTGCTAGATGTGACCCCACATGTAAAAGTTGTATTTTTACCTCCAAATACATCTCTAATACAACCACTGGTTTGAGGAGTTATTAAGTGATTCAAGTGTAACTACACAAAAAAAGTTATGAAAAACTAGTTGTATCAGTGGACTCCAACCTGGCAGTACCAAGCTTGTGGAATAAATTTAACATTGCAGATACCATCAGCTATGCTAGAAGTGCATGGAATGAAATGCCCCAATCAACATTAAATGTAGGCTGGGGAAAGTTATGGCTTTCTGTAGTTAATTCTTTCACTGGTTTTCCCTTGCTTGAGAGTCAGGTTCAGGAAATTGTTCAGCTGGCAAGGAGATTACCAGGTGATGGTTTTTAAGATATGAATGAAGATGTGGATGAGCTCTTAGAAGATGATGATGATAATGAGGACAGGAGTCCAGAGGAAATGTTGGCAGAGTTCGATGCACAGATACAAGGGAGGGAGATAACAGAAGAAGATGTAGAAGAACCTGAAGAAAAACAGTTAACATTACAGCAGTTACATGAGCACTCCCATGTTGCTGCTAATCTAGCAGACTTTTTCACTGTAGAGGACCTGGAGTTTACCTGGAGAGAGTTCCGGGGGTCAACGCCCCCGCGGCCCGGTCTGTGACCAGGCCTCCTGGTGGATCAGAGCCTGATCAATCAGGCTGTTGCTGCTAGCTGCACGCAAACCAACGTACGAGCCACAGCCCGGCTGGTCAGGAACCGACTTTAGGTGCTTGTCCAGTGCCAGCTTGAAGGACCCTGACAAATCTAGGAGCAGTGCCTTGAAATGGGGTTTAGACCAGCTGATGATGCCTTACCATCAGCTGTATAATGTACTGCAGGGTAAAAGAGCCCAGAGATCCATTACAGAATTTATGCACACTCCAACACAACTATTGACTTCAGTACCAGAACCTCTACCATCCACTTCTGCCGACAACCAACAACCATCCACCTCAGCCCAGTAGGGCTACACCATCCGTATCCCCACTCTTCACAATCATCATCACCCACAATTTAAGGTAAGAAATACTATTATTTCTATTGCATATGTAGTCTTAAGCAGTAATATATCACAACAGTGCACTACAATTACATATTCACTTTTATTTTGTAAGATCTAGAGATCTAAAAAAAAAAAGTTGTTTGGGTTTTTGGGGGCTCCCAGGAACGTAACCCTATAAGTTCTTCAGTTTGTCTAACACGGTTTTGTCTTACACGGCATTTTCAGGAACATAACTACCGTGTTAAACGATGGTCTACTGTATTTACTTTGTGATTTGCCCTTAAAAATGCCTTAAGTATGATGAAAAACACATTACAATTAGCGTAAACAACACGCTTTTAATCATACTTATCTTCCATCGTAACCATGTTACACTTGGAATCACTAGCGCTATCCTTCTTAGGACCCATGGCTAGCACACACAATAAGGGAATAATCACAAAAATATCAGCAATAAGCAAAACAAGCACACGATTTCACCATGGGCAAAAATGCGTGTGGCATCGTCCTAGTTTTGAATAAGAACCAGCAGCAGCAACACCACCACAGATTTTTGTTTACAATTTTTCAGTGTAAATATTTTAATGCATATGTATACATTTTAATGAGTTCTTATTGTATTTTAAATTTTTTTTTTTTAGCTTCTTTTGTTGTTAATTTTTATGTTTTTTATTTTAAATACATATATTTTTAAGGAAAAATATATTTTACAGTGTACATGTAGATCCTTTTGTTGTGACGTAGGTGATGTTGCTGAGTGACGTAAAGTCAGATGTAATGATGTTCACTGAACTGAAATTTACTCTAGAAAAGTTGTGTAAAGGTGAATTTGTTGTGAGCCGAAATGACATAAAACGGGGTATGACTGCATGTGTTACACATTCTACCAGTCTTTCTTACATATTTTTATGGAGGAGGTCAAAGAGCTTAGAAGGTTATCATAAAAAAAATATTCATTCTTAATGTCTTTATATAATGAAATACTGACATAGACTAGCAGTGCTTCATTAGATTGCCTTTAAGTGATTAAGCCAGAACTAGTTAATTATTTTTTTGCTAAAAAATATTTGTCATTTCAGCACCTGCATGCATTGTTTGCTGCCAACACGGGTGCTGTACAAGGCTAGTCGTGCAGCTTGTGGAATTGGTGGAGCACACATATCACAGGTCAGGGATGGTGTGTACCAGTTCCTTTGGATCAACCCAGACTCTTCATTTCACACCGTCTCCTTGGGAAAAAGTTATTACTCAACATACCCCCATACTCCTGGGGCATGTCACCACTTTGGCAATGACAGCTCCCAGAGAACAGAGACATCGCAGAATGCTGTAGTTAAAGAGGAGGCTTCCAAAAAGTTTGAGAATGTAAAGTTACAGCTCTCTTCTGTTAACCCTATAATTAATGAATTATCAGAGATGAATTCCAAACGTAATAGAGACTTATTGTCTCCTGTGCGACCTTTGCCACAGAAGAGGATCAAAAGTGGTTCGTCATCCTCAAAGAAATTCAGTGAATCTGCAGTCTTGGACTATATCCCACTCCCACCTAGTCCACAAGAAAAAGATGAATTGGGAGATTTCTTTGTTATTGACACCAGACCCTCTGAAGTGAATTTCCCTGAGACAAATAGGAACAAGTGTAACAGTGAAAAATCTAAGAAAGATGCCAAGGTTGTGAATGGAAAGAAGTCTAGTAGTAATAAAAAGGATTCAGTGGGGGGTGAAAGCAGTGGTGGATGTTCTGGTACTGGAACCAAATATAACAAGAAAGTGATAGTGTCATGTGATAATGATGTTCTTTATATTCCTTCAACCTCTAAGTTTTGTGAAGGTAAATTACACGGTAAGCGGAACAACAACAGAACTAAAAAAAGAACTAAAGTCCTTGATAAAAATTATGAAGGCAGTTCTGCCAGAACCTCAGGAAAAAATGACATTGATATATTGTTTGAAGTACCCGGTAAAAGTGATCTTGATGATGTCATGGTATTGTGCACTATTGTAACACCTGATAAAAGCCAAGATCATGTGCTTTCACCAGGAAAATCTCTTGTTCCAGATAATCAGACAAGGAAGTGCCATACAAGCACGAGACAGCAGCTGAAGACAAAACTAAGAGATATACAGCCAGATGAAGTGATTTCTGTCCCTTCCAATTTAGAAATAAAAGGGGGAAAGACAGTACCAGATTACAAAAATAGGGATGTCAGTTCTGGCATTCAGAAGGTGGATGTGGTTGACCCTGATGTTCTGGAGATAGAGGCTCTTCCAGCTTCATCCAGCAAAACATCTGTTGATGTGGAGGTTATTGATGTTTTTGCCTCTGATGAAGACAAATGCAGTACTGACTCTTCTGATCATGAAGAGAGAAACATAGATGTCAGTACTTCAGAATTTGTATCTTTACAAAAATTACGAGTTAAGGACTTGCAAAATACAGTAATAGACATTAGTGATGAAGTACTAAAGTTCCGAAGGGAACTAGAACAGCTGAGAAAGTGGGAGATGACAGGTCTTGGGAGGGAGATTCTCTCTTCAAGGAACATGAAGCCATCTGATACCATGTTTACAATTATGTCTTACAATGTGTTGGCTCAGGCTCTGTTGACAGATAACATGTTGCTGTATTCATCTTGTAATGATGAACATCTCTCATGGGAATACAGATGGGCATTGCTGCAACATGAGATTACGGACCTGGACCCAGATGTGCTTTTGTTACAAGAAGTTCAGGCCTCTCATTATCACAGCCATTATCTCCCATGGTTTACATTCCAGGGCTATGATTCCTTGTACAAAAAGAGAACAGGTACAAAGGCTGATGGTTGTGCCATATTCTTCAAAAAGAGTAAATTCTCTTTGATAGAATCCAGTAGTATTGAGTACCTTCAGCCAGAAGCTTTAAATATCTTAGACCGTGACAATGTTGGCCTTATAGCAAAACTTTCACCGGTATTGCAGCCAGATGCACCAGCATTGTGTGTTGCAACAACACATCTGTTGTACAACAAAAAAAGGCATGATGTCAAGTTGGCCCAGATAATACTGTTCCTGTCAGAAATAGACAGACTATGCTATGAGGGTGAAGAAGGGGGTAGGCCAAAGTATTGCCCTGTAATAGTGACTGGAGATTTTAATGCTGAACCGCACAGTGCTTTAATACAATTCTTGAAAGATGGCCGGTTACAATATGAGGGCCTAGCTCGTAAGACTCTTACCAGACATGGCGCTTTTGGTGAATTACTTGGGCCAGAACTTTTTCCCCCATCTCTTGGTCTCACAGATCGCTGTCAGCATGCAGTGTTAGCACAAAGTCGTTACTTGGAACAATCACGGGGACCCATCTTTTCTTTGGCAGACAAGCGAAAACTAGAGGAATCACTAATACATTTATATCATTCAGATCGCCAGTCTCAACCCCCAAAAAATTTAAGATCCACCTGCATAGGTCCAACACCCTCAGGATGGTTTTCTCATGGATTCAACTTTCACTCTGTTTACCGTCACTACTTGAGCCGTTTGGGCAGAGCCCCTGAAGCCACCACTAACCATAATGGCTGGACATCAGTGGACTACATGCTATACTCTCGTAGTTATTCTTCTTCCTTACATAGGCCCATTGAAGGAAATCTTAAGTTACTGGCACGTTATGGGCTGCTGTCAGGCCCAGAAGCTGATAGGTTTGCACCACTACCTTCAGCAGTGTGTCCGTCAGACCACTTTCCCCTTGCTGCTCAGTTTTTGCTGCGAAGATAGCTTTTAATGCTAAATATTATTTAATAAATGAAATTGGGAACCAAAATAAAATATCAAGTATTTTTTCATTGTAATTTATTCAAGATTTGTTATATACATTTTCATGTACAAGAATATATTTAAGTATGAAAAGAGTGTAGACAGGTAATGTACAGTTAGTTCAGCCACAGCTTGCTTATGTACAAAATATATTGTAAATAGATCTTATCTTAAAAAAGATAGTAAAGATATCACTTTTGTAATGGTGTGTACCGAATGAAAGACATTGATGTTTAGTGCTATAAGCCACAGGACTTGCTTTATAATTTTTCTATTCCTTGGTAATATATGTGGAGGTCCCAGGGTTGGTGTTTTTTGTCCTATTTACATATTTTAACCCCTCATAGGAGGTTTTTTGATGTGGGGCTTTTGATCCAAAGAATTGGGATTTTTTTCTTATCCTTCCTTGGACTGTACCTGTTTACCTGCCATTTTCCAGGTGCTGTGAGACCCCTCCAGGTTTAATGCTTCTCCCAAAATATGATGATAATCATATGTCCTAAGCAACATCTGCATTATCTGCACTACTTTTATTTCACTTACTTTATACGACATTATTTGTTTAGTTGGTTATCAATGGCAGTAAGTTGTAACAGTTTTTTCTGCCGAAAATAAGATGTATTTTTGTATAATTATGAAATATGTGTAAATTATAAGGATTTAGGCCAGTTGATAAGACAATTTAACTATACATTATTTTTCAAGAGCTTTTACCCAGTATGATATGTATTTGGGCCTCCAGAAGATTTGCTTCCCCGCTCCCTTTTCGTGCCCTTCTGGATTAAATTGGCAGGCTTGGGTTAGACTGCTGAGCAGTTTTGGTGCAAAATTGTACTAGCATGAAAAATGCACATAACTTTAGTTAGCCTGACTCACAAAATCGTAATGACACGATTGCAAACAAACCATACCACAGGCGGGGATAGAACCCGCGATCAGAGACTCATTGATCACGGGTTCTATCCCCGCCCATGGTATGGTTTCTTTAGTTAGCCGTTTGCTTAGAAAGGTAGGGGGATGCAAATCTTTTGTTATCAGTTTAATTTTTGGCTCATGTTGATCATAGGCAGACATTTGTCTCAGGCTTATGTAGCTACAGAAGTTGTAGCTTGGTAAAAGATGCTGCACATCTTGCTGCTGCATTGAAAGGCTTTACAGAGCATGTGCACGCAGTTATGCGTGCGAGCGACCTCTCGCGGAACCCTAAGGTTCTGGAGAACCACGGTTGAGAAACGCTGCTCTAGAGTATGTAATGCCCAAACATACACTCTAGAATTTATAGGCTTTGCACTTAAATTTGAATACTTCTGTGTCCTTACATACACTCGAAGATTTGATGACTACCCACTCACTCCAGACTTAGTGTTTGTCTACACATTAAAAGGGATGTAATGCCTTTCCACAAACTACAGGACTTGAGGTGAGGGGCTCTTGATGCAAACTGAATAGGAACATATATGAGAAAGGAGCACAATAGCAGGCCTGCTGGCCCATGCTAGGCAGGTCTAACTCACACCCACCCACACCAGTATATGCCTCCTATTCAGGTGCTTTATGACCCTTACAGGTTTAGCACTTCCCCCTGAATGAAATAATAATTTTAATGGGTACACTCTGGGGCATGCAATATCTGTAATGATATTTGCCCTGCTGCAATAATTTTGTTGAATATTAATGCAATGTAACTTGCAATACCATTTAATACCAAAATTGTTTGAAAAGGACTTTTTTTTTTTAGGATATATTTTATTTTATTTCAAGCAGTAGTTATTAGACCCCCTGCTAGTCTTGTAGCCTGTCAGTGAGTGTATAGGTCTCGTGACCCCATACACTTCTGGGACCTTCAGCTACACTGTATGTTGTTGGTTAGCTAGACACCTCACAGCTGTTTATTGTGTAATTACTGGGTTTAGTTCCATTTTTTTGCTGTCTCACAATTATACACCTTTATTTGTAAGTGGAAAATAAGATTTTTAAATAAGGATTTAAGAAAGGAGGAGCACTGCAGCAGGCCTGCTGCCCCATGCTAGGCAGGTTCAGCACACACTCACTCATGTACTTGCCTAACCTATTTTTAAAGCTATCCAAAGTTTTCACCTCACTGATGCTACTTGTTGAGAGTTTGTTCCACTCATCCACAGTTGTATATCTTTTCAAGATTTGTTTTTTTTCGAACTTGAACCTATTGCTGCCAGTCCTGTCTTGGTTAGATATTTTTAGCATGCTTTTTATATCTCCTGTATTTATTCCTGTCTTCCATTTATACACCTCAATCATATCTCCTAATTCTACACCTTTTCAGAGAGTTCAGATTCAGTGTCCTATATCCTCATAGGAAGGATTTCTGATACATGGGATCAATCTTGTTATCCTTCTCTGTATGTTTTGCAATGCATTTATGTCCATTCTGGTCACTATTCCACCACCCTCTTGTTGACCCCATCAGTGTTGAACCTATCAGTGTGGAGTAATTTATAGCCTTGTATATGACAATTAGAAAGCATTTCTCTCTCTTTCAGGTTGACCCAGGTCTTTATTATAGCAATAATGTCTATGCTTCCTGCACATGCAATTAATCTTAGCTCATCTATCTTATTTCTAACACTTCTACTATTAGTATAGTAATCCTCTTGCTGCCCTCTACTGTCTAGTTCCCTTTTATTAGTACAGTGGACCCCCGGTTAACGATATTTTTTCACTCCAGAAGTATGTTCAGGTGCCAGTACTGACCGAATTTGTTCCCATAAGGAATATTGTGAAGTAGATTAGTCCATTTCAGACCCCCAAACATACACGTACAAACGCACTTACATAAATACACTTACATAATTGGTCGCATTCGGAGGTGATCGTTATGCGGGGGTCCACTGTAACTATATGATGAATAATGTTGAAAGTTTCCCTAAGGTGTCTTGGCAATTTTTGCTGCTTTGATCCCTTGTGCTGCTATCTGTTTCCTACACACCCATCACTCTAAAAGCTTTTAAAGTACTAGACATCTCAGCAATGGCCTCCACTACAGAGTTGGCTAAGGCTACCACCCCTGCCCCAGGGGTGGTATATACTTGTTTGCCATAGAAATTGTCCCAGTTGTCAATAAATGGGATTGCAAGTTCTTTGCAGTACTTGTTTAGCCAGCAATTTATACCAGTTGGCCTGAACATGCATTAATTTTCCACTCATAGGCAGAATGCTACATATGATTGGGACCCCTCCCTGAAACTCAATTAAATCTTTAGCTGTACTATACATAACTAGCAGCTCCTGTCTTCTGCCCTTCTCAATATTTCCATCAGCACTATGGCTTATTCCTGTTATCTGACATGATATCCAACCTGTTGACTATGACAAAAGCTCAAGGAAAACACCCTCTGTCTCACTTTTCTCTATCTGTTACAGAAAGCACAGTCAGTATGTTTTACCTGTGAATTGACATTATCCTCACTGACCAATGAAGCACATTCATCCTGGAGAACCTTCAGATTTGCCACTTGTTACTGCTGCGAACTTGCACCTCACTTATACAGTGGATCCCCGGTTAATGATAATTTTTCATTCCAGAAGTATGTTCAGGTGCCAGTACTGACCGAATTTGTTCCCATAAGGAATATTGTGAAGTAGATTAGTCCATTTCAGACCCCCAAACATACACGTACAAACGCACTTACATAAATACACTTACATAATTGGTCGCATTGGGAGGTGATCGTTAAGCGGGGGTCCACTGTAGTAACTTTTTCCCTTCACTAAATCCAACTACCTCACACTCATTGTTATACTTATCCAGGCAAATTTCCTCCTTGAAAAGTTGAACCTCCTCTTCCAATGTTTTGAACTCTTGACTCTAAAAAGAAAACTGGTGAAGCAAGCCATGGTGCTCCACTCAGACAGGTAGCAACCTCACATAAGCTATGTTCACTCGCCTCAATGAACATAGGCATAACAACTGCACCCTTACTTTCAGGATATAGATGTGTATATATTTTTATCCCAGCAAAAAGGTGTTTGAGGCTGGCTGCACACCAGCTGATTCCACACACACTAGGTCTTCCATCCCACGACAACCCTGCTGTCCATACCACCTGCACTACACTACCATCATCTCTCGGACACAACCCTACTGTTCTACTCCACCCACACTGTCCCTATCCCACAATAACCCATCATCCCTGTCCTACAAAAACCCCATCATCTCTGTCCCACAACTTTCATCATCCCTATCCCACAATAACCCCCATTATACCCATCACACAATAACCCCACCATCTACCAGTATCACTGTTGGACAGTACTAACTCCAGTAATGTTCTTGATATAAGTTAATAATTTACCAGTGGGAATAACTAATCATATGAACAAGATCTTATATAAAGTAAAATATCAAAATGATTGTGATCTCTGCAGGAATTGGTTGCAAAGTTTGGTAACAAGTACTACAATCACTGGAAGATTAAAAAAATAAGTGAGTAATGAAAAACCCAAAATGGGAAATTGATTATAGCTGCTGTAGTGCTCCCAGTGGAGATTGATTATACTGTTCAGTCCCCCAAGGGGAAATTGATTAATTATAGCGCTGCGTGCCCCCAAGGAGATTGATTAAAATTTTTTGGAGTGCCTCGGGGAGATAATTGTGCGGGGGTGCACTGATTCAAAAATTGGCCCACCTTCTTTTTGGGGAGCAAACCTAATCATTCTTATACCCCAATAGGGGTTTTAGTTCTCGAAAACCCAAAAATTTTTTCGAAAAATTTCCCTGTTGTTGTAAATTGATTTAAATCACAGTCCCTGTATGCACTTCACCGTTATCCCCACCACAAGCACTGTTCATCACCACCACAAATCACTTTTCATCACACCCAGATCAATGTTCATCATCACCCCACTTCACCTTCAATCCATTCACCATCACACTTCACTATCACCACCACATTAAACTTCACATTTTAAATATCACTTTTATTGCTCTACCACACTTTCCCTACCTTATCAAAATGCTTTACCACACTCCTTTATCCCACACTTCACTGCCATACTTAAACACACAGCACTTAGTACACACAACCACTTCATTCCTCACTTCACTGTACATCACATTTAAATATTACCATTTTACACTTTATCCACTTCACAGAGATGCAAAAGATAAAAAAAGAGTTTGGGGAAAGGGGAGTAAATATCAAGCCAAGGCAGATTTTTTTTTTTAAAATTTCTCTTCGATTAAGGGGGTAAGATATCTTCTTATTTGCACAAAATCCAAAGATTGTTTTTGGGTATTTTGGTTAAAATGCATATCTTTAATGTAAGCTGGTGGGTTTGTCTTCATGTTTAATTACATAATTTTCTTTTCCAGTGGTTGTACATTTACCTTAAATTCATTCCTCATTCTTAATAAGGGTGGGGAAAATACTTTCAACATCATGTGCATCTATTTTTCACTTTACATTTAGACTCCCTTTTTCTTAAAAAAAAAAAAAAAAAACCCCAATTTCAGTTTATTTTACATATCTCTTTTTTTTAACGGGTGTAACCAGTGGGGGCACTTCATATTTTTCCTTCATAATTCAACTTGCCAATTTGCAAGATGTCTTTGGACTTATTATTGGGTGTATGCAGTCATTTATGTGACTTTTTAAAATTATTATAGTTTTTTCCAACTTTATTGCTTGATATGTCATATAAAATTTTTCATATACTGTTTTCTATTTCCTATTTTTTTTAAACAAAAAAACATGAAATTCAAACCCTCCTTTGTCATCACTTATGCAAAATATTTTGTCCTTTTTATGATCTAGGCATTTTTTTTTTATATTTTCATAGATTTTTTGTATGTATAATTGTATTTATACAGTTATTATTCTTGCAAATATTTTATATTTTGTAAATTTAAAATTTTGGGGGAAAAGCCATACTGACTCGTGACATTACCCCAAATACTTTTTCGTCTTTCAGTATTATGGGCATTTTAAACCCCCAACATTTTTTGCTGTACAGTAAATTTAAAAAAAAAAAGAGAAATTTTCCTCACACTCCTTTCTCCCACCTCCACAATTCTATTTCTTATGAAAATCGCAATAAAAAAATTTTTGCCCATTACACATTTATTAAACAAGTCAGAAAAAAAAATCATACCTTTGACGAAAAAGCGAAAACCCAAGAGTTTTAAAATTTTTTACTTTTTTTGAGCTACATCTGTTGCCTTACACTGCTGCAAACACACCCTCTTTTTTTTACCCTCGACTCTGCACTGGGCACTTTATCAGATTTTTAAGGGGGTTGGTTAAAGAAAATTTACTTAGATTTTATTTATTCCCCTAAACTGTACAACCCCTTTTAGATTTAGTGGGATTTTTTTAAAAGATAAACAAATAGTTTTTGTATTTAAATTTTTCCCATTTGATTTTTCTGTTGAAAGTTAAGCTAACTTTTTATTTTTGTTATAAATGCACTCTGGAATTTGTATTTAGCACAGGCATTTTAAACTTGTTATCAAATTTATTCCCTTTTTAAATTTTTTCTTAAACATTTAAAATTTTTTGTTTACAAAATGAGTGAGATTTGGTTGTCTTTTTACCAGTAATTTTTTTTCTGTTATTTGGGACTGTTGATTATTTATTTCTGGTCTTCCTGTACTTGTATAATTTTTGGTTTTGTGCAGCATTCTGTATTAGTTTTCTGGTTTTCCAGTACCTGCTATTGAGGCATTCTTTATTTTGTGACTTTATATTTTTATAGAGCTGTACAATTTCAGTTTCATGTGCTGTATGCTGCAGAGCTCTTGTGTATTTAGTTTCAATTTGTGCTGTTTCTGTTTCAGCAAGAGCAGGCATTGGATTTAAAGCATGCTACAGCATTTTATTTTATATAGTTGCTCATAAAATCCTTAAGTAATTCTCTATAAAGAAAGAAAGAACTTCCTTACACATCCCCAAAGTTCTTAAAGTAAATTGATAGGTTTGGCAACATTTGCACAATTTTCACATGCAAGGTGAAACATTAAAAAAGTATTTTGCAATGTTATCTACAATATTAAGCATAAATGGCTGCATGCTCCAACATCAGCAATACTTGCAATACAGTACAGTGGACCCCCGGTTAACGATTTTAATCCGTGCAAGAGGGGTAATTGTTATGCGAAATAATCGTTATGTGAATGAATTTTCCCCATAAGAAATAATGGAAATAAAATTAATCCGTGCAAGACACCCAAAAGTATGAAAAAAAAATTTTTTTTACCACATGAAATATTAATTTTAATACACACAAACTGAAAAAGGCATGCACACTTACATGACACTTACTTTTATTGAAGATCTGGTGATGATTGATGGGATGGGAGGAGGGGAGAGAGAGTGTTAGTGTTTAGAAGGGGAATCCCCTTCCATTAGGACTTGAGGTAGTAAGTCCTTTTCTGGGGTTACTTCCCTTCTTCTTTTAATGCCACTAGGGCCAGCTTCAGAGTCACTGGACTCTTTCGCACAAGATATCTGTCCATAGTGGCCTGTACCTCTCGTTCCTTTATCACTTCCCTAAAGTGTTTCACAACATTGTCAGTGTACAGGTTGCCAACACGGCTTGCAATAGCTGTGTGAGGGTGATTTTCATCCATGAAGGTTTGCACTTCAAGCCACTTTGCACAGATTTCCTTTATCTTTGTAGTAGGCAACTTCTTCAATTTCTCTCTCCCCTCCTCTGAACCAGTTTCCCCAGGTCTGGCCTCTTGCTCTTGAAGTGATCTATCAGCTCATCAGTGGTTAGTTCTTCATTGTCCTCCTCCACCAACTCTTCCACATCCTCCCCACTAACCTCCAACCCAAGGACTTTCCCAATGCCACAATGGATTCCTCAACTGGCACAGGATTCTCAGGGTTAGCCTCAAACCCTTCAAAATCCCTTTTGTCTACACATTCTGGCCACAGTTTCTTCCAAGCAGAGTTCAAGGTCCTCTTAGTCACTTCCTCCCAAGCCTTACCTATAAGGTTTACACAATTGAGGATATTAAAGTGATCTCTCCAAAACTCTCTTAGAGTCAGTTGAGTTTCTGAGGTCATTACAAAGCACCTTTCAAACAGAGCTTTTGTGTACAGTTTCTTGAAGTTGGAAATAACCTGCTGGTCCATGGGCTGCAGGAGAGGAGTGGTATTAGGAGGCAAAAACTTCACCTTAATGAAGCTCATGTCCCCATAAAGTCGCTCTGCCACGTCTGTAGGATGACCAGGGGCATTGTCTAACACCAGGAGGCACTTAAGTTCTAATTTCTTTTCAGTTAGGTAATCTTTCACATTGGGGGCAAATGCATGGTGTAACCAGTTATAGAAAAATTCCCTAGTGACCCATGCCTTACTGTTTGCCCTCCACAGCACACACAAATTATCCTTGAGGACATTCTTTTGCCTGAACGCTCTGGGAGTTTCAGAGTGATACACTAATAAAGGCTTCACTTTGCAATCACCAGTAGCATTGGCACACATGAGAAGAGTAAGCCTGTCTTTCATAGGCTTATGTCCTGGGAGTGCCTTTTCCTCCTGAGTAATGTAGGTCCTGCTTGGCATTTTCTTCCAGAACAGGCCTGTTTCATCACAATTAAACACTTGTTCAGGTTTCAGTCCTTCAGTTTCTATGTACTCCTTGAATTCCTGCACATATTTTTCAGCCGCTTTGTGGTCCGAACTGGCAGCCTCACCATGCCTTATCACACTATGGATGCCACTACGCTTCTTAAATCTCTCAAACCAACCTTTGCTGGCCTTAAATTCACTCACATCATCACTAGTTGCAGGCATTTTTTTAATTAAATCCTCCTAGCCTTTTCACATATGATCGCTTGAGAGACGCTATCTCCTGCTAGCTGTTTTTCATTTATCCACACCAATAAGAGTCTCTCAACATCTTCCATCACTTGCGATCTTTGTTTCGAAAACACAGTTAAACCTTTGGCAAGAACAGCTTCCTTGATTGTCTTTCTGGTGCCCACAATAGTAGCGATGGTTGATTGGGGTTTCTTGTACAACTTGACTAGGTCGGCGATACGCACTCCACTTTCATACTTATCAATGATCTCTTTCTTCATTTCAATGGGTATTCTTACCCTTATTGGTGTACGGTTGGCACTAGAAGCTTTCTTGGGGCCCATGGTCACTTATTTTCCAGAAACACCACCGAAAACACTGTAATAATACGAAATATTCCGAGTGTATGCTTG